GTAATGGCGTGCGTGTCTGTGGCAGGGGCCGCACAGAAGCCAGGTAGCGTGAGTGAGCGGAGGGGATCGTGTCCAGTCGTGAGGGCACGTTAAACGTTCGGACAAAATTCTGCCATACAACTGGAATTGCGCGATCGGGTGGTGGGGTCAGGGTCAGCACAACAAGCTATGCTTAGTGCGGGCTCTGACTCCTCAAATCCACCCATTCAACCATTCGGACTAAATTTATAAAAAAGGTCAATGACCTTGACTTGACCTTCACGTGACCTTGTCACCCACCATAATGCATGGCACCAACATCATTTCACATATTTGAGCGTTTAAAACCACAAAAAGACTGGTAACCGCGGATAATGTGAACTGGCATACGCCGAATCACGATTCCGGCCAAACATGGTCTCGAGAAATATGCCACAGGTCAAAGGTCAGTTGGGTCAGAGTCATGAAAGTTTTAGGTTAGATGTAAAATTGATGATCTCGAGGGCAACGAAAGTTTCGTCGCGATCGGCCGCTTTTTGCGCGAGTAATTTGCGGAAAACCATGGGGTTTTATCCGACCCCTCCCCCTCCCCACAAGTGCAAGGGTTAATAAGGTTACGGTATGTATTATTTACACTTGTCATCATATTCCTAATGAATGTGTCTCAGAAAATACGTGAATCACGAAGTAAAATTATTCGCCTATGTCCGGAACATACCTATATCGTGCTGTTTGCCCTAGCGCTCCTAGAGTGAGGTGTTAAGATACTCTAATGTGAATATTCCGTGTTCAGGCAAGTTCCGGCAGCCAAACTAGGCGTTGACTTGTGCAGGAGAAAGTGCCGAATTTGATAGGATATATTTCGGAGTGGAAAAGTGTGGAAAACATTGTTGATTTCCTACATTTATTTAGAATACCATTCCTTCCACATGGTGTCTGTAAGGGTTTTTGTAAATGGCATTTTTGTGACCTTAGTAAGGTTGTGGCATACTTTCTGTTTGCCATTCCATTCCCAATAAAGGTGCCTTTCAGAAGATATGCAACTTAAGACCTCGCAAGATTAAAACTAACAGGACAGGACAATGAAATTGAGCTATACTTTCGGGCCTTACTGACCCCATGGCCCATTGAATAATCACGCACGAGTGTTAACTTTGGGCGCATTTTTCCTAGTCTTACTGTGGACATACAGATAAAACAATGCCATATATGAAAAATTCAGACATTTCTTAGCCCCACTGACACAAAAAATAAACAAAAATCCAAAAAAGATTTTTTGAATTAAGAGGCGCTAGATCGGGAAAATCCCCACTGTGCAGTGTCAGGTAAATAGGTACTGCACTACATGCATATGCAAATTGCATTGTGCTCACCATTGAGTAACTGTACTACTCTGAAATCTGAATATTTATGTATTATGGTAGTGGTTGTACTCGTGTCCCGTTGTGCTCATATGCAAGGCCGACGTCATGTGCGCATGTTATGTATTTGGAGCAAAATCAGAGAATTTAGCATGAAACTTGGCCGAAATCGGGGATCGGAGAGTATGGAGTATGCTGCTGCAAATGCCACGCGTGCGCACAGAACTCGCTCGCCGTGCATTTATGTGCCGGGCTACCACCGCCTGGAACCGCTTGCCAGCCGAGCTCAGGAGGAGTCGTTTATTGTGTCACCCACGGTGGTGAATCGCGAGACATGGGGAGTAGATGTGCTCAGTTTTATCGCATTTTAGCAATTTTGTAAAGCGCACAACGCAGGGTGTTGTTATAAAACGATAAAAAGCAATCGCCCCGAGCTTTAATAGAAGCAGATAACCACAATTTGAATGATGTTTCCAATGTCAAAATGCTGAAACATTTATTTCTTTTATTCTTTTTGGCCATGGGCCTGGGCCCCATGGGCCTCGCCATGGGCCTCGCCAACAGAAAGTTATTAATTTTATTTACATTTAGCTTTTTTATGTGAATTTGGGCCTCTCTCGAAAAAATAGTGGGCCCAATTCGCTGACTTTGGTTTTTGATAGGGGGTACCTTGACCCCCGGCCTTCGCCCCCCCCCGCAACAGTTTCCATAAATTGGCACCCCTGCACTATACATTTGTATACTCATGTATGTATGTAAATGTACGTTGGGAAGCCGTTCGACACCTGGGGGCCCCCACCGGTGGGGGCCCCCCGAGAAAAAGTCGGACCAGTTTTCCTTACGCGTCGACGCCCCTGCCTTTTTTGTGGCCTTAAGTTGGAACTTTAAATTGAAGCATCCGAAAATGATCGATATTGATCGAAATCATGATGTTGATGAAAAAAATAATATATTAAGTTGAGAGAGGAGGCCATTTTATCCAGATGCGGTGGTTTACTTCTTGAAATTATTTTTGCTTACGACGACTGCCATGTAATGAGGGATAATTAGCAGCCGTCATTAGCAAAAATAATTTCAAGAAGTAAACTACTGCATCTGGATAAAATGGCCTCCTCTCTCAACTTAAAATATTATTTTTTTCATCAACATCATGTTTTCGATCAATATCGATCATTTTCGGATGCTTCAATTTTAAGTTCCAACTTCAGGCCACAAAACAAACTACCATACAAATAACGGGCATATTATAGCTGGCTTCTTCGTCTTGCACCAGGTGGCAGCACTTCTTTTCCAAAATCAGTGTTTATCTTTCCAAAATCTTGATTTCCTCGCTGAGGAGTGAAATCGGCCTCATCGTTGTCAAAAATAGCAGAATCGTTGTCATTTTTAGCACGTGTGACAAAAATAGCACGTGCTAAAAATGACAACGATTGACCAAACCTCCCCCGACTGTTATACGACATTTAACATGCAATTTTAAGGAAAATGAAGCATTTTTTAGTTTGAGGTAAAGTATAATAATTTTCGCCTGGTTATGAACTTTCATACTATCGACACCAGATGCTGACAAATGCAAGCGAAGACGCGGACGGTCCCGAGGTAATATTGTTGACTTTTGGTGTCGGGGCGGACGATCGTGTGGAATGTGAGTGAATTTACCGAGCTATTGTTGTAAACTCAGTTTAAGCGGTTGAAAATTATCCAGCTGTATTTTATCAACCCTGAAAGACATATTTTATTTGGATGTTAGCTGTTTAGCGTTGCGTCATGAGCGTGGTTTTTGCCTTCGGTATTTTTAAGCACGATCGTTTTGGGGGAATTTCTTTTATGCAGGTCGGCCTGTGTGGCTTATTCATAATTTTTATGCTGATTTTGATCATTTCTCGTGCCCATCCTACCAGGTTTTTTGCCACTTACACTCATTAAGAAAGGAAAAAAGTAGATTTATATTGGGACTAGGTGTTTTGAGAGTGAAACATTTCAGCGTTCCCATTTTTGGATACTTACTTGTGCTCGTCAACTATCAGTGTTAAACAGACAGGTGTTTTACATGCCTCCACCCTCGGCGCGGACGGTGTATATAGGCATGGAAGACCTTGTTGAACATCGCTGAGCGTTGTGAATAACGTAATCCTGCAGAGGGGGGCGTGCCCGCTGCGGGATCGACGGGAATAAGAGCGCAGAAGACCCGGCGAAACATGCGGTGGTCTTGCCGGAAAGGTCATCTTATGATTGTTGCGTTAACAATAACCTGCGGCGTTGGACGTGATGCTTGGAAAAGGGCCACCTTTAACATGGGGATTAAAACTGAGATAGCCATCTTGTAGCCCGTGTCCGAAAACCTGTCTGAATACCTCCTTACGGCCGATTTCGGCCTCCATTCGTAGTTATCGGCAATTTTAAAAGAAAATACGCCAGGAATGCGTCCTTATCCCAGGAATGCGTTCTTATCCGACAATACAGCCACCCGCGGCGAGGCTTTGGTTTTTTACCAATCAGCTCCAACCAGCTCAGCTTTAACCAATCAGCTTATCTGACACAATCCGACGAGTCTGTCTTCTGAACGCTGATTGGCTTGAGTGTGACGTCATCGCTATGCCATCATACAGTAGGTGCCGTAGAGAGTATCAACATAGTACCAATATGTTAAATAGTTTTAAATACTTTTTCGCGAATTGTGCACTTCTGGCACCAGTTTTAAAAAGAAAATGAAAAATAATAATGTCAAAATGAAAAACAACGATATCTTCATATTTCACGAAGGTGGCCCTTTTCCTTTAATGAAAAGAGCCCGTGAAAGGCGTCGGTGAAATCGTTCCCAATTTTGGGTACGCCGTTCCTATAATAAGGAACGCTTGCAGCGCCAGTGTACGAGAGCGTTCCCAAATTTGGGCACGCGGCCCCGGCGGTGGACTGCTTTAGAAATAGAGGAACGATTTGAAGCTATGATGGGCCTTACAATATCAAACTCTTTCCCAACAAGCTTGAGACAAATATCAGGCGGTTCACGATCGTTTTATATTTTTTGGACGTCATTTCACGGTTCTTCTTCTTGTTTTAAATAATGCCTACATGGCGTTCCCATATTTGGGTTTATCGTTCCCAAACATGGGAACGAAAATGCATTCCCAAAAATGGGCACGCTTGACCATAGTTCCGCCTACTGAACTGTTTTTATATAATGATTCCATGACATTCTGTTGCATTGTTTTTATGTGTTGCCGCTATGTCCATCTATTGACATCTGGGTAAAAAATGAGATGCCTTCCTAGATTGAAGCTGCTGATGGATATTTGAGGTTATTGACAATTTTGGGCTGTGTTTGGACTGGCGGTGTTTGGTGTGGAAACTGGAATTTCCACGCTGAGGAATTCACAATTCCTCAAAGAGGACATTCATGCAGTGCTAGGTGGGAGGAATCACATGAAATCCTATAAAACCCCGAGGAAAGCTAATAGCTATGAGTGCTGAGAATAGTCCAAGGAAAATTCCCCAATGTAGAAGAGTGAAAGGAAGGAGCTGCCCGAATGAAGCGTTGATCTGCATCAAACAATTTAGGCCAGTAGGCTTTTTTGATGGTACAGGGTGATGGGTGATGGTATAAGGTGGCTTATTACGATCTCAGGTTTTGCCAGTACTAACAAACCATATGCTTTGCAGGATAAGCTGCATTGGCTTGCAATTTCTGTGAACAAGACATTGCAATTCATCCAGTGATGGAAGAGAATTATGAGAATCACGTAGAGGGAGGCAATGAATGGGGCTATGGCTATTCTGACCAGTATGGGCCCACACAGTAAGTAATGGAATGGGGAACTGAGTGAATTCATTTTTGTTTTTCAGCTTTGCTTGTATATTTGTCTGACAACACTTTAATCCTTCATAGCAGTCAGTTTGCTTTCATGATTGAATAGGCAGTTTTCTCTCTAACTGAACTTTTAATGGGGCATTCAATATTCATTTGACAAGATCATGTAACTTAGATGCTCTTAATGATTCCAAATACATATGCAAGATGTGAGTAATAAGTATTATCAATGATGATATTTCCTGGCTAGTTCTGGAGCCCACTGCTATCCATGCTGTGAACTTTTTTCACAGTTTATTGTCTGATGTTTCACAGGATCTCACAATGGCAAGGTTTCAGCGGTGGATTCGGGGGCTCTTGGCAAGGATGGCAGGTAAGATGCAAACAACTGGGGTGAAAACATCAGTACCTATTTATAGCAGACCACATGAAATATTGACAGAAGCTTTGGGTGTGATGATATGCAGGAATAAATTTTCCTGCTATGGGTGTATTAGGAGTGTTTATTGACTATTTCAATAGGTATTATTTTTTTCTAGCATTGCTCAATTTTGATGTTTTTTTGTATCTCATCACTGTTTTTCCATGTTTTGACACAAGTGTTGGATGGACGCATTATATATGGAGTGTCGCTAACTCGCAAGGTTTGCAGCATTCTCACACCGACCTCCCTCCTCTCTGCAGCGGTTCCCTCGGCCGGGGCCGGGTTGGTACGGACCGCGCGGTCCCGGCTGGGCACCTCCGGCCAGCGGAGTGAACGGCTGGCCCGGACCGCGCGGACCGCGTGGTGGAGGACCAGCGGGTGCCGGCGGGCCGCCCGGGGGTGCCGGCGGGCCGGCCGCGCCGCCCGGCGGACCCCCCGGCGGGCCGCGGCCCCCGGCGCCGGACAGTCAGACCCCAGCGGACTCGGACATGCCGCCCCTGCCGCCCGACCCGCCGCCCGCACCGCCGGCGCCGCCCCCCGAGGCCGCCCAGCCGCCCCTGCCGTGCGCGCCGGCGCCGCCCCTGCCGCCCCTGCCGCCCAACGAGCCGCCGCCGCCGCCGCCCCCGCCCGGCGGAGAGATGGGTAGGTGACTCTTGGATCATGTAGGATGTGTGAAAGTTTCGGTTCGTTGCAATGCAAATAAAATTGTGGATGGTTTCACCTGAGCCTGTATGGAATGAATCAGAATATTTTTTTTTGTTATCTTTCTAGCACTCCTTTTGTATCGCTTGGAGTTGTGGTTTGCAGCCGCGTATAAGACGTTCAAAGTTTCAACCTTTTTTCCCAAGGGGCTATACGCTTACCTGCCTTCACTCGCCGATCTGGTTGTTCTTATATTACACTCTGGACAGTATCTGATGTCCTGCCTGGCTGCTTGTTTATCCTCAGGCGCAGGAATGCCTGGAGGCTGGCAGCCAGCTGGCACAGGCAAGAAGAACAAGAACAAAAAGAAAAAGAACAAGCAGCAGCAGCAGCAGCAGCAGCAGCAGCAGTGGCAGATGCAGCAGCAGCAGATGCAGTGGGCGCAGCAGGAGTCGGACCCCTCCGACCCGTACGAGCAGCTGCAGCAGCAGGCTCAGCAGTACCACCAGCAGCAGCTCCTTCAGCAGCAGCAGTGGCCGCCCCAGCCCGGCTTCCACCCGTTCCGGCCCCAGCAGCGGCCGCCGTTCCACCAGTTCAGGCCGCCGGGGCACATGAACATGCACCAGAGGATGCAGCACCACCAGCAGATGCAGCAGCAGCAGCAGCAGCAGCAGCAACAACAGCAGGGGGAGGAGTACCAGCAGCAGCATCAGCAGGACCAGGAGCAGGGTCAGCCGCCGCAGCACCGCGGTCCTCCTCCCCAGCAGCAGATGGGGTGGTCGCCGCACGCGAACGGCCCCCAGGGACTCCGGCCCGGCTTCAGGTGGGTATAGGGAGTTGGTGAGTTTGGTAGTCTTTCAGATAGATTCACTGATTGATGGATTGTTAGCTGCCGTTTGGGTTTTGATTTAGGTGAAGTGTGTGTGCTCAATATGGTTAATGTCCTTTTGATTTAGCCTTACAAGCTGTAATTACAGTCATGTTCATTGATATCTCTTCCTAGCACGCAGTATAGCAGTTTCTATCACTGTTTCTTACGGTACCGCTATGCACAAGTCGGCACCGTTTCGGTCTCCACCACCTCCGAGTCGGTCCCTAAGTCCCTCGCTCCGCCGCCAGGTTCCAGCCGATGCAGCTGTCGCGGCCCCGGTTCCAGGCGGGCGGGCAGCTGGGCAGCTTTAACCAGTCGGTGCGGCCGCCGGGCGGTCAGCCGCCCAGCGCCGCCGCCGCCCCCGCCCCCGCCCCGGGTCCGGACACCTCCCAACCGCCGCCACAGACTCCACCGCCGGAGTCACCCGGTCAGAAGGTAAGACCGTGTGCGACTTTTGGATACTCGCGCCGGAGAGTCGACTTGGGATTTGTCCCTTAGGAGACCCTAAGATATGCTTCGCAGTTGTCATGGATACGGCATATTGCGACATTGTTTGGTTTGTGTTTTGTAGGCACTTGTAGGGCATCTCAACGCCTCGCCGCGCCATATCCTCCAGAATACTCCTGGCTGTTAAAAAATTCAGCTTTATTACGAAACATTTATATTTTGTCGTAGACAAGACGAATCGCTCAGGGGCCCAGGGTGGTAATAAGAAAAGGAAGAATGTGAGATGAATTGATGATAATGATGCCGAAAAAGAAGCTTTGTTGCGTTTGTTGCCCTTGTTCATTTTTTTCGTGTGTTGCGCCAGCCTTTCAATTTGTCCTTTATTTGTTTGATTTTCATCGATAAGTGTTTTTATTTTGGCGTTTTTGATGTGCGTAATACCAATGTTTTCCCTTTCTACAGTCTTCGCCTCAGGCGCTGTCCGGTCAGCCCCGCCCACCGAGTGACGCCACGGCCGGGAAGCCAATGGGCGCTGCGCCGGCCGGCCAGCCGACCAATCAGGCGGCTGAGAGCGCTGCCAACGCCAGCAGCGACTGGCCCGACAGTCTGAAGTGAGTTCGGTGGCCGCCGGGCGGCGCTGGCATCAGGAAATTGAGTGCCGAAAAATCAATAACGTCTTACATTGCAAAACAATATGTGTCTTTGGGTTATCTTTGACGGCTTTTTGACATACATATTTTTATCTATGATAATTTTGCATACAAGGCTGTGGAAACAAGTTTTTGGTTCAAGGTCATGAAAGTTTTTGTTTGTTTTGAATGTCGATGCGGGATGCCATCAGGGTTGGCAGAGGGTGGCAAAAACTGGTTGTTGCCAGTGGTTTTAACCGGTTTAAACCGGCTGGCAGAAACCATGGTGGCAAAAACTGGCAGAAACTGGCAAAAACTCAAGTAGCCAAAACTGCGTTGTTTGCCTAAAAAGCAATCGGTTGAAATGTACAAAGTCATGTCTGTCATTGGGACCCAGTAAGCATTGTCTCGCTAGTTTACCGCTGCTTAAAATGTCTGTCGGTAGTCAATAGATGTCCACCGGGAAGTGCACTTTCATGCATCGCTGTTGGTGTGCTTCTGCACATGAGCATATGCAGGAGTCGTTTCCGACCAGACCTCGAGAATGGCTGGGTCGATTGCGCTCAAATTGGGACACCGTTAGGGACTGATTAGTAGGGTGTCGTGCATAGTCGGTCGGGGTCCATTTTGCACGTGCGCACGTGCGGGGTGACGCTTCCAGATTGGGAGAACGGCTACGTCGACTAAGCACAAATTTGGCACTGACACTGTTAGGAACCGGTTCGTAGGGTCCGGTGCACAAGTCAGTGGCAGATGCCCTTTCCCACTTCTTCAATACTCGCCGCCCGCCGGCGCACTTTCTCATTTGTCTCACCAAAAAGGCGCCTTATTGGTTAATTATAGAGGACTCACGGAACTATTTAACACTAAAATGGTCAAGATACCACTTCTGTTTGAAAGCATATTGTATTGACTGAATCCTACTTTAAACGTGTCCTGCTCAAACGCATGTAGAGGCATAGCGTTTTGACTGTTTTAGTTTTTGCCAGTTTTTGCCACTTTATGCCGGTTAAAACCGGTTTAAACCGGCAAATGGCAAAAACTAGTTTTTGCCGGCAAAAATGCCAACCCTGGATGCCATCCATTATGCAATCTTTGGGACTAGCCTTGTAGTTTTTTTTTTGTTTCATTTATAGGAAATTGTTGCAATAACACATAATCTAAGCGTCCTCATGTCCCCTGTCTGTAACACAGTACTGAAATCCATTTTTCCTCGACTGACCTGACCTGTGACCTGCCCACCCCGCAGACGGTACGTGACCCGGGCCTTCGAACGGGCCGTCTCCGACACGGAGAAGAACAGAGTTCAGACGCTACTGAGAGAGAAGATAACGGCGGCCGCCGCGCGAGGGCCGCTCACAGGAGTCGACTGGGACAAGGAGCCGCTGCCGGGGTCAGTTGGGGTGAAAGAGGGTGCCAGGGTTAGTTGGGGAGGAATGGGGAGCTGGGATCAGTTGGAGGGATGGCGAGGGGTCTGTGTGAGGGTAAGTCTTGGGTATGAGGAACCTCTGCCGGGCTGCTAAAGGGAGGAAGGGCTGATATTTTGGTGAATTACGTTACCGGCACAACAACCAGTGAGCTTGCATCAACGTCAGTGTAGCGCTTATTGAACTATGCTCATCGCTTTTGCCCCATGATCCTCTTTGCTCTCCTTACCCCTTACTAGTCTGACCTAGTAACCCTCTGTGGTCGCGTGCCCCCTTCTTTGACAATGCCAACAGTCATGGACAGCAGTCAGGAACAATGAGTTTGTTTGGGGCCAGTCTTGGCTGATATCGGGTCATGCTAGTTGTTTTGAGCCATGCTCCCATTTTCTCACCTTTAAATCCCCTTACTCTGACCTCGTGACCCCGTTCACTGACTGTGACCCGTTGACCCGGCAGCGCCCAGCTGTCGTTTGTGGAGCGAGCGGCGGCGGCGGCGGCCAACCAATCACCGGGCAGGGGGCGGGGCCGCGGCCGACTCGGCAACCAATCAACGGGCAGATACTTCCGCGGCCGGCTCAGCCGCTCCCGGTCAAGGTCAAGGTCAAGGTCAGCGACAAATCAATCGTAGATCGGTCAACTATGCAATACAGCTCAGAAGAGACGATGAAAGTAACGTCTTGTCTTCTCTTGACAGCCGGTCGGGGCTTTATAACTTCTGAGGGTGCATTTTGCTCCAACCGACAATGCCCCTCGCACTTAGTTAGTGCAGAGCTCTCAATGCTATTAGTCCTGTAGTCTATGCTGGCTCAGTCCTGTGTGTTAACACTCAGTGATCATGTGTATGAACACTCGCTGCAGTTGTGCTGTTCTGTCCCAAGCCTCTGGAAGGCTGACCTAGTTTCCCCCACAGGAGTCGTTCCCGGTCGCCGGACTCCCGGTCGGGGTACGGCAGGTCGAACCGCGGCAGGAGACGGAGGAACAGCAGTAGCGGAAGGTGAGGGAGCCGGGGAGCGCTGGGGAACGTGGGAATGGCAGGGGAACACTTTGAGTGGGAAGGGTGGGGAGGCAGACGGGTGGACTCGGTGGGATGAGGTGTTGTAAGGGATTGGCTTTGTTTGTTTCTGGGTGTTGATTGTCGCGTCACTGCTTTATTGGACGTCGAATTTATGGCGAGGCTGCGTTCTGTGCTCAGCTAAGATGTTATGCTTGAGGTAATATTGTTCTTTGTTCTTTTTACGCGGACTAATGTTACCAAGCGCAAGGATTGTTCGGAGACTGGTTACTGGGAACAGCTTGTATTTCGTCAGTTGGCCAACAGATGGTTGTGTCTTGCTTTCGTCGGTGCGTTTATGTCATATTTTGGTTTCGCCTGTGCTTGTCGACTGAGCCGTGTGCTTTGTGTTGTTCAGTTCTCGGGACGAGGACCATCGCAATACACCGCGCAAGAAAAACAACAAAATGGAGAAGAAAAAGGGACGCAAAGAGTACGTATCCACGGCGCAACAGTGTGCCAGGCGTGCTTTGAATGACTGAAACACTTTTTCTTAGTGCAATGTGTCTGTGTTTTGGGGAACAGTGATTTTGACTCTGCTTTACGTTTATATTCGTTCAGTTAATGGCATTATATTAACATTTTAAAGTTTTACAAGCTAAATCGAATGTCTGGTTATGCATTTTTCAGTCGTACCTCAAATGCATGCGTTTTCATTGTTCAAAGAACGTCGACGGAATCACTTTCTGTCCAATGCACACCATCACAAGCGTCATACAGCCCCCTTCTCTGACCGCCCCCCCCCCCCCCCCGCCCAGCGCCAAGGCGCCGTTCTACTCTCTGGGCGGCCCGGGCGGGGCGACCATCTATACAGTCCCAGCTGACCTAACCCTCCCCCATTTAGCACCACTCTGGGCGGCCGGGGGAGGGGGGCGACCCTCTGTAATACACACCCACCTTTTCTGACCTCTCCTTCTCCCGCGCAGCGCCAAGGCGCCGTTCTACTCTCTGGGCGGCCCGGGCGGAGCGACCATCTCCACCTCTGAACAGCTCCAGAAGAGAGCCAGCAGGTTCGCCGGCCAGCGCGGCGACAACAAACCCAGGCAGAGACTTCAGATTCAGGTGAGGCGTGAGGAAGTACTTCGCCGGTTGGAATTCGGCAAGCTCTGCCTACACTTAGGAACAGTCTCTTATGCTAGAATTAAGTTACAGTTTTTTGCCATTGACTCAGCGAAATATGACGAAATGCGGTGGCTTGCGTCGAAGGAAGGCAGGCTCGCTGGTTAAAAATAATTCACAAGTCCTCTGGCTATTTACATGTGTTTCGGGAATGTGTTGCAGCAATGACTATGCTACGTGATCATCTTTATCGAGCAGCACCTCGATATGATACGATCGTCACCTACCCTCAGTGTCTCCCCTGTCTCCACTGTCACCCCTGCTCTACCACTGACTCTTCTCCCCCAGTCCTTTATACAGAGCGCCGCCTCCCAGCTGGGTGAATATGACGGCGAGGGTATGGGCTGGTCACTGACACCCCCTACCGGCTACCCCTCCTTACAGTCGTTCATACAGAGCGCCGCCTCCCAGCTGGGCGATGACGGAGAGGGCATGGACTGGTCACTGACCCCCCTACCCTCCCTCCACAGTCGTTCATACAGAGCGCCGCCTCCCAGCTGGGTGAGGACGGCGAGGGTATGGACTGGTCGGCACTGCACATTGTCGGGACGTGCCAGGACCTGGAGAAACGCTTCCTGCGACTCACTGCGGTACGGAGCGGGCTATGAGAGGCGGGCGGGCTAGCTGGATAGATGGAATGGTGTTATTGGTGTAGAAAGAACCCAGTCAGTATGGTCATTGACCATCGTACTGTGGGGCGGGATCGTATTGATTGTAATCGTATTGAGATGAGGCTTGGGGCAACGGCTCAGACGGGAGTCGCAAATTTTAACTTCGGGAGGGGAAGAAGGGTGGTTCCGACACCTATACTATAACTGGATCTAACTTTTCATTAGCTTGAAAGACGTTTTGAATTTCGAAGACCAATGAGCGATGCCTATCTTTGTGACGTGTCACAACATGAGCTGCATGCCTAGATAAGAGAATACAGCACCTAAATTTATCAGGCTCTAATCTTCACCAATCTTTCCAGCTTTTGTTCGCACCCACACAGTTCCTATCACGTTCTACCCGTCCACCGCGGCCAGTCTCTCACGTCCAGCGCCCCTCCTCCCGCCAGGCTCCGGAGGCGGCGTCCGTCCGTCCGCCGGAGGTCCTCCGTCGCTCGCTGGAGCTGGTCAAGACCAAGTGGAAGGAGCAGCAGGACTACCACAACACCTGTGACCAGCTCAAGAGCATACGACAGGACCTCACAGTATGTCCGGCAGGGTTTTATAGTGCAGGGCAAGGGACGGGAATGATTTCTTGGTCGACGAACCCGTTTGTCTTTGCTAACTGATTTTAGGGTTACCATTAAGACCAAGCAAAGTGTAACTGGCGTTTGACACTTTTCATGAGATTGATTTCTTGTTTTATCTTTCATTATTGTTGGTGCTGAATCTGATTGCATGGGTTGAAATGTTATGTTTCTGGCAACAGAACTAATGGAAGAGGACGTCTTTCTCTGGAGTTCCCACACTGTTTCTAGTGCCGACGTCTTACTTCGCCCATTAGGTGCAGGGTATTAGGGATGAGTTTACCATTAAAGTTAAGCCTTCTTTCTTTCATCAGGTGCAGGGCATTACGGACGATTTTACCATTAAAATGTCCTCTCGTTTCGCCCATCAGGTTCAGGGCATTAGGGACGAGTTTACCGTGCACGTGTACGAGACTCACGGCCGTATTGCTCTGGAGAAGAAGGACCACACCGAGTTCAACCAGTGTCAGACGCAGCTGAAGGCGCTCTACAGGGAAGTGGGCGGCTCCAACCGGCTCGAGTTTACCGCATACCGGCTGCTCTACTTCATATTCACCCGCGCCATCATAGGTCAGTGGTGGCTCTGCTTCATATTCACCCGCGCCATCATAGGTTAGTGGTGGCTCTGGTTCATATTCACCCGCGCCATCATAGGTTAGTGGTGGCTCTACTTCATATTCACCCGCGCCATCATAGGTTAGTGGTGGCTCTACTTCATATTCACCTGCGCCATCATAGGTCAGTGCTGCTTCATATTCACCCGCGCCATCATAGGTCAGTGCTGCTTCGTATTCACCCGCGCCATCATAGGTTAGTGGTGGCTCTACTTCATATTCACCCGCGCCATCATAGGTCAGTGCTGGTTTACTTACCTCTACTCAGCGATATTGGGTTAAATTATCTTTAACCAAAGCTTCCAAGCTTCCATGCTAGTAACTATATAAGTCCATTTGATCAGACCTTTTTATTCCTTGCATTAACAAAGTAAATCAAGTAGACTAAGCATTTTTTCTTCGCATAGGCCTTCATAGGATAGCAGTGTCCTCTATTTTATATAATTTTGCTCTATTCTACCCTGTATGCAATGAGTTGTACGAGCTACCATCAACGGATAGTATAGGGACGTGTTCGCTTCGTTAACACAGGACTTACCGTCTCTCGGTCTCTTCCCTCCGTTCCCCAGACATCAACACGACGCTGGCCACGCTGACCGACGAGGACAAGCGGGACCCGTGCGTGGCGCACGCGCTCAAAGTCAAAAACGCCTGGAGCCAGGGCAACTACGTCAGGTAAGGCGGACGGGAGTTTGGGCTGGAGGACGAGCACATGGACTTTACAGTTGATAGACCATCAGAAGGGGATAAAGTGTTAGCTCATAGAAATTTCACAGGTTTTATTTCCAGATTTCATGCTTACGCTCAGTCCTTTTTCCTTTCCTATCAAAACGTATACGCGCATGGCTGCCCACCTGCGGACGATGCTGTTCACCATCCCGACCCACCGCCTCTTCTGCAGGTTCTTCCGGCTGTACCAGGACGCGCCGAAGATGTCCGGCTTCCTGATGGACTGGTTCGCAGATCGGGAGCGCAAGAGCGCCCTCAAGAAGCTCATCAAAACGTTCGTACCGGGTCCGGTTAGGATAGTGGCTAGGGAGGGGATAGTAGCGGTTTGGTGGTTAGGACCGGGGGGGGGGGTAGGGGCTAAGTTGGTGAAAAGAAGGAGAGGTGGACGTGGCTTGGTGGTTAGGATGGGTGGGTGGGGGGGGGGGGGGGGGCAGGGGTTAGGTTGGTGAAAAGAAGGTGAGATGGACGTGGTTTGGTGGTTAGGACGGGGTGGTAGTAGGAGTTTTGTTGTTGGGTGGTTTGGTGGTTGGTCGGTTTGTTAGTTGTCTGAAGGCTGTATGGGGCGGGAATGTATGGGACGTAGGGAAGGTGGTGTATTGAATTATTCAAGATCTACACCTTTTTAGGCGCAATTTCAAAAATTTAAAGGAAATAGTTCACTTTCACGAAATTATTTTTTTTGCAATGGATTTATGATTTTTTATGTTCAAAATGATCAGCAAAGAAAATAAAACCTATTTATAACAAATGATTATTTTCTATATTTTGATATAGGAAGAACTTTTCAGTTTCTGTTAAGGTCGCCGTCCACTGCACTTTTGTCCGCCGAAAATAAGCGCTTACTGACAGAATTAACTACAGAGGCAATGGTAGGAGCAGAATCTACAGACGCCGAAACGGCCCAGCCGCCGACAACGCATTTCGGCATGTTTATCTTTTCATCGCTTACTTTACGCTCTTAATTTAGTGGCGGAGAAGTTGGATCGTGGGAGCTTTTTCTGCCGCTGTTGACGCCGACCTTGCAAGATTCAGTTCGCTTTGGCGGGCTATTGCTCGGCGACGGTGCGGGCTACGGGGGTGAAATTTTCGCACAAAGTCGGACGCATGCAACCATTTGTCGTATCAGCTTTTCGAAGGGGTGCGTTCAGCGGTTTGCACGTGGCGGGCGCATCTTTGCGACATTTTGGGCCGCGGCCGGTGCCGAGCAGAGAGCACGTGCCTTAGGCCCAGATTTTTCACAGTGAAAACTGAGCGAAATCAGAGTCGGCAGGTCACGTAGGGAGGGCTCAGGAGACAGATGACGTCACGGGGTGTCAAGGTTTTGACGATTTTTAAGACATTGCTGTGCAGTAAATAACCTTTTTTACGCTCTAAGGGAGCCCAAAAGTTTAATATCAAACTGCCTTAGAGGATAAAATCCTCGAAGATAAATATTGGCGAAGATTGGTAGACACCCGCTGACGTCATCTTTCAAGGTCACCGATGTAAACAAACGGCTAACCCGGCTAACCATTCTCCTATAACTGAAGGTTTGTTGTCAATAGTTAAAACAGTTCCATAGCCTTGGTTAAAACACTATTCGTTAGTACTATTTATAGTCACCGTGGTTAGTACGAACTAACTGGACGGGCAGGTGAGCCAGTGATTGTGTTTCTCCATTCTATTGTATACGGCCTCGGCCGGCGGGTCCTTTGAGACGTGCTTTGAGCATCTCTGCAAATGTTTTTGTGCAGTGGACGGCGTCATTTCAGCAAACGCCGGAAATACGCGCTTATCGACGATTACACGCTTACTTTCGGCGGATGCCAATGTGCAGTGGACGGCGACCTTAAGGCACACGCGATCCAGTATGAAAAGAGCATGGGTCCCGAAAATTCTTCAGAAACTAGAGAAATTATCGCGGCCACCGGCATTTGGAGTAGTAAAGTAATCTTGGGCATTTGGGCCATCTGCTCGTGCTTTTGTTACTGGAGCGCCTCTTTCCCCGAGATTGCGCCGGCCGCCTGCCATGGACGAAAAATACACGACTTTGAAATCCGGCTGATCGTGGGAAAATACCGCCGGAGGTCTCGGCTATATGCAGGAATTCACCGGGATGTATAGTATATACCACTGCCTCGATGTATTGGCTATAGCCTGCAAGCTGGCTTTGGTGCAAACTGCAAACATGTCAAACATGGTATAGGGCGGATTGTCGATTGATGTAAGCGAATCAGACGTTCAATTGACAATTTCCGATTCTTATTCGATAATTACGGCCAATTATATTTTATTTTAGGAAGTGTTATTAGGAGCGGAGCAATAAAATCTCATTTCTCCCCTGTCTCTTTACCTATCTCTCAAATCCCTTGCTCACTCATCTTTCCTCTCCATAGGCGGCGGAACGGGGAGGGCACCGGGGCACCGTCCCCCCTTTGATTTTGGCATTTTAACATTAGCCCTATGGGCGTTGCATGGAAAGAATGGGACCAAAAGTTGGCAGTGCCCCCACCCACCCCCACCCACCCTTAATTGAAGGTGTTCCGCCGCTACTGTTCCTCTCAGTAGGTATCAGTCTCCTTGCCGTCCTCCCTGAAGTCTCTGTTAGTCTTTTCCTTCATACTTATCCTCCTTTCTCTCACCACCCTCTCACTCTCTCTCTCTCTCTCTCTCTCTCTCTCTCTCTCTCTCTCTCTCTCTCTCTCTCTCTCTCTCTCTCTCTCTCTCTCTCTCTCTCTCTCTCTCTCTCTCTTTCTCTCTCAGTCTCTCTCAGTCTCTCTTTCTCTCTCAGTCTCTCTTTTTCTCTCAGTCTCTCTTTTTCTCTCAGTCTCTCTCTCTCTCAGTCTCTCTCTCTCTCAGTCTCTCTCTCTCTCTCTCTCTCTCTCTCTCTCTCTCTCTCTCTCTCTCTCTCTCTCTCTCTCTCTCTCTCTCTCTCTCTCTCACTCTCTCTCTCTCTCTCACTCTCTCTCTCTCACTCTCTCTCTCACTCTCTCTCTCACTCTCTCTCTCTCTCTCTCTCTCTCTCTCTCTCTCTCTCTCTCTCTCTCTCTCTCTCTCTCTCTCTCTCTCTCTCTCTCTCTCTGAGTCTCTCTCTCTCTCTCTCTCTCTCTCTCTCTCTCTCTCTCTCTCTCTCTCTCTCTCTCTCTCTCTCTCTCTCTCTCTCTCTACCCGTCCGTCTGTCCATCTCTTTGTCCTTCTCTCCGTCCGTTCGTCCGCCCTTCCGTCTCTCAGTCCGTCCATCCATCCGTCCGTTTCTCCATTCTCCGTCCGTCCGTCCAATGTCCATCCGTCTCTCCGTATGTTCGTCCTTCCGTCTGTCTGTCTCCCCAGACCCCATCCGCCCGCCCAAGGCCCTAAAACAAGTCCTCAAATTAATAGGTTAGGGGCATATGCCCCCCGAACAGGAGCCTGAGGGGCATTCAGAACAAGTATGCCCCCCCCCCATTCAGACTTACACTTCTTACGCCTATAACGAGGAATTAAATAAAAATTGATTAGAAAGCCTTCCTAGTAACTAGGTACTTTTGTGATCAGAGTCGTTTTAGTAACCTCAATTTAGTTATCATTGCCTTTATTTTGTCTAAAAATATGTTGCTTCTTAGTTCTTACCACAAGGGAGCAATGCCGCTTCAACCCTATTGACCGTATTGCGTAACGACGGCAGTCATATGGGGGGGGGGGCACAAGGGGCGCGTGCCGCCTCATTAGATGCATGGTGCCCTATGGGCCCGAGAGGCCCTGCAGTGCCAATTAGTGGCCGCTCAGGGTCCAAGCGTGCCTCATTTCGACTGATATAAGACCCGCAGGACTCGTGAGAGCACCTCACGGAGTCACGGGCTCCTGAGTCGCCACACATCACACATCTCCATAACGGCCCCACTCCGACTTCTGATAGCCCTGTGCTGGCCTCTGAGTGCTCTTGCTGACCCATTAAGCGTCAGCTCAGCTCTAATTAGGGTCCTGACCCATACCCGCATGGAACGGCTTCACACCAGTGTCTCTGAGGGCCCATAACGGCGCCTGTGAGGGCCTCACACCGGCGCCTCTGAGAGCCCAACACCACCAATCTGAGGGACTAACACCAATGTTTCTTAAGGCCCTACATCGGCGGCGGCTCTGAGGGCCCCACACTGGCGCCTCTGAAGGTCTTACACAAGCGCATCTGACGGCTACCTACCTGCAACTCTGTGGGCCCCACACTGGTGAATAAGGATCCGCCAGTGCGTGAAATAATGCATTAAAGATTAAAGAACCATGCAAAGTTAGCCCTTTTACTAGTTTTACTGGCAAGGGCGATAATGTTCCCCTGAATGTCCTTATTGATCAGTACGAGAATTTCTCTAGAGTTCTCGTGGATAATTTCTCTAGTTTCTGAAGAATTTTCGGTACCCATGCTCTTTTCATACTGGATGCAAATATATGCAAGGCACACATCCTCAACGCAAGACACCTTTTTCGGGACGAGAAATAGAATATCTTTGCCTAGGGTGATCGTTGGGCTGTAAAAGCTCCTGATTTATGCTCGTCTCAGCCCAAGCTACGCAACTGCTATTCCAGTTCAAAACCCATGTTAAAAAGTGAACTATTTCCTTTAAAGACCAAATTCAAAAAGTTTACATTCAAAATGCACGTGAACGTTTTGAATTTGGTCTTTAACTTTTTGAAATTGCGCCTAAAATGCTGTAGATGGGCAGAGAAGAGACGCAGTAGTCCTTTTGTCTGGACCACAAAGTAGTCAAACTAAATCAGTCAAAACCAGAAAGCGTATAGCTAACCAGTCGTGGTGGTTTCACGCTTTGGTTTTGACTGATAAGTACCCACCTACGTGTACATATCAAGGTTGTGATTAGGCTTTCGCTGTAACGTAAATGTAGATATAAAAACGTATGTGTTGTTTGTCTTGTCTCACAGTTTGTGTATCTTTACTTGTAGCTTGTAGCTTTCTTTAAGCTTCTTTAAGAGAAGCAGCACTCCCCCACATGTAAATGTTTCCCTTGCGTGAACTGATGCTCTCCACAGTTGCTGCTCCTCAAAGCGAGCCCCTCCCCCTGGCCCCTCATGAACAGTACATTGTGTGCCGTGTGGTATGAATGAGGATGTGTGATGGGTGTACTGTTTATGGTTTGGCTACACGGCTATCGTTGTCAGTCTGTTTGATGTTAATCAACTGCCATTTTTGTTTCCATTCATTTTCAGCTGTCCGTATAGTCATTTTATACACGTGTTAGCTTACAGAAGGCGATACACCAATGTGCCTCGCCTGCCCTAGTCGCTCGTAGCGCCCTCTGATCAGGCTACGCCGGCTACCTACTCGCTCGTAGCTCCCTCTGATCAAGTTATCTATTTGCTTTGCTCTTAGTACATAATTTTTTTCTTCTTGTGTATGTGTTGTCAACAGTATTTCGATTTGTGTCCCAGCTGCAATCCATTCTTCTTAAATAGTATTGCTGACTGACGAACAAGTGTCAGTATTTTGCACATGCTTTCGTGAATCGTCTATTTAGACCATTTAGTCAGACTGAAAGTAAATTGAAGCGAAATCTAAATATCTGAATCTATTGACAATTATTGGAAATTCTTAACTGTATGTATAGCCCTAATTCAGGGTATATTCCTAGACGCAGCATGTCCATCTGTAAGCCAGTCAGTTTATTAGCGTGTTTACTCCCGTCTGTTGTGTATGCGTGTCGTGTGACCTGTGTATTAACCCGCTCCCCGCGCGCTGCCCCGTGCTCTGACCCGCCACCTATGCGTGCAGATACCGGCCCGGAGTCGAGGTCGGCTATGTGTGCCGCATACTGGCCTGCTCTCGGGAACAGTTTGCCACGCTCACCGAGCCGGCTGCGCTCGTGTATTCGGACCCAGTGCACAGCCAGCTCGATTGTAAGGCGAGCATGGCCTGCCTGGCGGCGCTCTGAGGACGCTCCCAGGCGTGTGTGAGGTGCTAGAGGACCCTCGGCGGCCGCTCGAGTGGCCCGGTGGGTGCGCTGAGGTCGGAGCGCTCGAGTGAGGTTGAAGTGGAGACCCTGAGACGTGGATGGCGGGCTGGAGGAAGTGCTGTTCTCGAAGAAGGAGGGTGCGGCGATGGCGGTGGCGGCGGAGGTGGTAGTGGAGGGAGCTGCTCTACGAACCAAGGGAGACAGAAAGAGGAGGGACTTGGCCGGGAGATACATGGTGAAGCTCGCTGAGATGTGATCAAGGAACGACGAAGAGAATCTAGGTTGCAGCGAAATGTTTCCTAGAAAGACGACAGGATGGTATTGCAAGCTTGGTGCGTGCTAGAAGCTGACGGAGATGATACAGTGTAATGCTGAAGAGCGCATTGATATACCATCAAGATGTTTCTGTGACAAATCCTGCGGTGTGAATCATACGGACAAGGTTCTTTGAGCTGCAGCTGTTCAATATCATGTGTAAAGCTTCAGTTGTTATACAAAGTTAAATTGCAAGCCAAAGTACAATGTTGATAAAATCAAGTCACAAGCACGATCAACAAAAACTAGGAACTTTGAATGAAGAATCATGTTGTACGCACAATGAAGAGTCTGGGAAGATGAAAAGCACTACAAGATATCACCTCAGCATCCCGTCCAGAGGCATCTTCGACATTACGCAATGAGTTTTAGGGTCCTGAAGAGCTACATTAGTCTTGGTTTTTTGTCGTCTGCTAGGTCGTTCGTGGCTAGGAACGCTGCACATTTCAGAGTGCATGTTGGTAGGTTTCCTTTTCCTGTCGTCTTCTTTCCTCATTGCACGTTTATGACATGCGTTTTCATTCACTTCACATTTTTATCACCTCGCCACACATTTTTATCCATATTTCCCACGTGGAGCTGCATCCTTTTCACCCGCATCTCATCGCCATTTACATCGAAGTCTCACCACTCATCATCATCATCATCACGTCTTTAGTTTTTGCACTTGGTTTCTCATTTCTCACACAACCTTCCTCTTCCTTCAACGCTGCCACGTTTTGCCTTGCTCTGCTGTTCCGTTCTGCACAGCGCTCCGAAGCCCGCTGTCGCCGGTGCAAAGCTACACGTCGTCGTGGCCCCGCCTGCTGCCCGGAACCCCGAAAGTCTGAAACTACGGCGATTAAGGGATCTGGGCGGTGGTGGGGCCGCTTGACCCCAACCGGCGGATACGCGTGGCACACAGAGAACGCAGAGTCGGGATAGCGAAACGATCAGAAGTCATGCGAAAATCCTGCCTGCCTAGGTTTGGCTGATCGTCCAGGGTAACATCGTTGCGAGATGTTTCTTCGTGGGAAGCTTCATCATTGTTCGTCTTTCGCCGCGAGTTTTTCAGCAAACATCGCCTACTGCTTACCGCCCATCGCCCGCTACCCGCCGCCCGCCGCCCGCCGCCCGCCGCCCGCCGCCAGCCTTCCGCAACGCCCAGGTCTTCGTCCCCGCCGCCTTCGCCGCTTGTTCCGTTGCCTGTCGTCGTCTAGGATCTCGGCCCGCCGCCGGAAGGCGGTCTTCGACGTCTTGGTGGCGACCCCGTGGTCGCCCCTGGGACGGTCTTCCAGTCTAGCCTCCAAGGGACTCCAGGATGTCTTCGTCAACCATCGCTGGCAGCCCCGGGGCTCAGGAGAGCTCCGGCAGTTGCCTTCGCCGAAGGGAACCCGAAGGATCGTCGGCCGTCCTGGATGGCTGGATGTTCTGCGGACTGGTGAACTACCCCGGTCGCTGTCTGGTGGACCATCCCATCACCCCAGTCGTTCATGACCTGTACTGTCGTCGGTCTTTTAGGACTGTCTGAGCCGCCCTTTTCCACGCTCTGGAAGTCTGCGCCGTCTTCAGCCTTCCGGAGCTTCCCGCATCGTCCAGCTCCGTTGACCATCATCTTGTGACTGACGCGCTGGACGCTGGTCGATCTCTGGACATCCCGTCCGCAGACATCCCGCTCAAGGGGCCTCATCGAGTGTGGCCCCTGGATCACCAACTAGAGTTTGCCTGACGTCGCTACCGCCCGAAGCTGAGGATCTTCGAGTTCTTCCAAGTTCCAGCGAAGAAGGCTGACCAGAGAGGCGCGGTAGGCCGATGCGGACCTCCGGTTGAAGGGCTGCATGATCTGAGCCCTCAAACTGCAGGTTCAGAGTCTTCAGGTTCAGCAGCTTCGGAGTTGAGGACTTCAAGAGCTCTGCAGGAGGATCGTCCACTTGTCGACGGATTGCGGCAACGTGGAGGATGAAGAGGGGTGCCAGCGTGCCGGACACCCTGAGGACCCGCGGGAGGAGTGGCGGAGGATCGCCGAGGGAGTCGACTCAGTGCCACCCACACCCTGATCCTCTCACAGATACCCTCACATGTTCTGCGGGGATCATCCTCCCTGGGTGCTTTCCTGAAATCTGAAGCTACCTCTGACTTGTCTGGGGACCTGATAGGCAATCCTGTAGACGGTCCTGGTCCCTCTACCTAGACCTTGGTTGGGGGTGACCTTTTTGAACGTGAGCCGTGGGAATGCAAAAACGCCTTCCCACAGACGGCGTCTTCCGCTGGCTTTTGCCGATCACGTGACCGGTATCTACATGCACGGTGTCAACCGTGTGTGACATCACGTGACTTTGTTAGTGTTGGGTCCCCACTACAGGTGACCAATGTAAGACAGCGTACGTTGAATGAAGAATGTTTGTATGTATTTGTATAAAGAGAATGTCAGTCTCATCTTGTACATTCGCCATGGTGTGAGACACCTGTAAATACATACGCTGAAAATTGAAGCCAGGCTGTTGTGATGTGACTGCGGGGAAGGGCCAAGATGTGATAGTGCATGAGCGACGATGATCACTAACGCTCGAGCGACGTAATAATTAACACCCAGCTATATCGAAGCCCGGGTAAAGCTCTGAATCGCGCACACACAGCGGCCTTCGTTTTGATTTTTATTGAACCGATCGTCCGAGGGCAGCCAGCGATCACAAGTCTGTCCGTCGGCGGGCGCGAACGACCGGTGAGGTACGGGAGGACGTGTGGCTGAAAATTGCACGTGAAAATTGCACGTGAAAATCGCACGAGCGCGCAACGCATACACACGAGAACACGACAATATTCAAATGCGCCCAGGAGAATCGCATGACCTCCGGCACGTGTAAAGGCGAATGCACGCATACACACATACACGCACAGGTGGATGATGAAACGTGGACTTCATAGATCAGTCTTAGCGCCCTCAGGCCCAACGTAACCCGAAAAATACACTCGACCATCACTCAACTGACTGATCCACTCAGCCCACGAAAACAATGCGATTGCCTCGACGCGGTAGCGCTCGCTGGAGCGACTGTGCTTATATGCGCTGACGACCGCACCGTCAGCGACCTCTCGAGGGTAAAGGCGGTCGGCGGGTGCGGTAACGCCCGTCGAAGGGAACAAGATCGTCCAACAGGCAGGACACGGGTCGATTGTAGATAAGATGCAGATCAACCATGAAAAGACTACAATGCACAAAATGTTCTGTAGACTAGATCAGGCTGATGTGGGCACCACATCATTAGCATTTGATTGAAGTGGGGAAACCGGCCCGTTCTCAGGGTTCACAGGGGCGTGCCGAAAACAGCGACTGGCCTGTCCCCTGTGGACAGAGAGGGAACTACAGCTTCAATAGCTAGATGTCGCGTGGGTGCATCAGCTAACTCATTACATCAAATCGGAAACGAGGAACACAAACTGAAAATATCTCCATGTGGCACCAATGGCGATTTTTTTTCACACACAATCTGGCAGCAGAGCTGGCAACTCTCACTGACCAACGCACACACTCACAATGTCCCGCTGCTCAAAGGCTCCAGTCCACAAAGTAACCGTTCGCGACATAATTCAACCCGCTACTCTTACAGTTTTTTCAAAACCACCTCTGTCCATCGGCACTGCCTTAGCCAACGAGTGTCGGGATATGCCCGCATACTTAAAACGGCACACCATTCCCGGCCTGATAGATGCTCCGGCTATCCGTTGAAAAGCCAAAACGGTCAGTCTAAAATAGTCCCTTGTGTGATAACAGCACATGAACCCGGTAATAGCTGATCGAATTGACCTGAAACCATGCTGGAAATATCTCCAGTTTAGCACTGATAGTCATATCCTACAATCGATTGTCTTTTACGATTGTCTCGTATACGATTGTCTCGTAATGCATTGGCTAGTGATGTCTAAATCCTGGTGGCATTACACCCTCCGTGATGGCTATGATGGATGCCTAACCGATGCGCATATGTATGGTTTCCTCGCACATAAATCAGACACTGCATCTAGAGTCTAGATAGTACTTTACTCTCTAGATTTCTCGAGGTTCTCAGGTAGCAGCGCCCTCTTTCTGCGCCATCACAGACGTCTCACGTCACTGACATCACCATCGTCTCCGCCGTCACCGTCATCACCTTATGACGTCACTCTGACGTCAGCTGCGTTTCCGCGCCCCTAGCGTCCCATGATCTGGGGCTCGTCGTCAAAGTCGTCCTCGTCCTCCTGGGCACCCTCGGAGGCGTTCCCCTCGGGTCGCTTCTTCTTCTTGCCGGAGGTGTAGAGGAAGATCACGCCGGCGAACAGGCTGATGATGAAGCACAGCCATCCCAGCACGAAGCCGGCGCTGTGGGACGGGGGGGGGGACAGGGTCAATGCTGGGGTAATAGTGCGCGGGTCGGAGGGGGCGAAGGTGGCGCAGGGCAATGTGGGGGTGAAATGGAGCAGATCAGAGGGATGGCGACGTTTCGTGCTGTCTCTGAATGGAAACGCAACTAGGGATTTGTATCGTGAGGCAACAGTGATACCACGTAATACCTTCCTACCTGATCCTTGAAAGTGCAAGTTATACGAGCACGTGATCACAGAAACAATAAATTACACCCGCTTGAGTCATTTAGATATGGTCAAATAAGAAATCTAGTGAAGAGGCAGTTGTGTATTTATTCGATTTTTTTCTTTTAAGGGGAAGGGCAGTGAATCGTTACAAGATACGGGCACGTTTAATTATAAGAGGCGCTGGCTATGTGCGTAGGCCGTAGCTACGACACGTAACGTAGACGAATGTGGAGGAGCGAACGTACGCACACGCGCACGCATATGAACACTTGTGAGCTGAGATAAATGTCATTTGACTCCAGCCGTGAGGCAGCTTATTCGCAAAATGTGATTGTGCGTGCATCTGTGGAAAATTCGCTTCAGGTGGGGCAGAGGTACGGCTAACCGCTGGGCATCAGCAGATAAATGGTGGGATAGTAGGTAGGATGGATTCCTTTGTTATAAAGACATTTGACATGACACGTTTCATGCCCTCATTGCCGCAGTATTTCGCACCCACAACCCGCCCACGCTCGATGCCGTGCCGCAGTGGTTTGTTATCCCACCGACAGATGGCAGCAGGAACATGCGCCTGATTGTATGCTGTGCCGCATGACTGGAAACTGCGACGCCAGTGCTACTGCGCAGTGTGGATTGTCCGCCGCGCAGAAAACGAATTCAGTTTGTGCCGGTTTTACAAATGGCGTTTAAGGATAAATGCATGGCTTTGATCCTAATGATGTAACAGATTCTTGCTAGAGGAGAAATAGAACGTCACTGTCACTGTTTTGCAGTGAATCAGTGCCCCTCGCGGCGAGCCCCGATGAACGGTTACAAATGCATAATATTTCGTACACGTCCTTTTGGTTGCAATGCTCGGCTGTCACGTCTGAGGCTCCTGTGCAGTTTAACTGGTCAGATAGCTTATAATGAATAGACATCTTCTACACACCTACCTGTAATGCCAAGTGCAGCCATCGGGGATCACCGATTCCACATTCAAATTCTGGTATTGGAGAGACGTGACCTTGACCTCAATCACCACCAGCTGAACCGCCGCTGCAGAAAAAGGTCACGCGAGGTCAATTAACAGCTACGGGGCACATTTTTTTGGAACAAGAGTCGACTGTTTCGATTCCTGATGAAGAAATAAACAAATCGGGTAAACATCGCTTTGCATTTAGAAGGTAAAGAAACCGCTACATCAATAATTGTGAAACCTTGATCAGCAACTAAAGACTTGCCAATATAAAGCTGCCGGTGTTATTAGCTAGTAAAACAGATTCCTACAGTGAATTTAAGCGTCAACGCGTTCGAACTAGGCTCCAGCCTTCACTAAATCAACTCGCTTAACTGTCTGCCCTGTCCTAGACACTCGACTATTGGCCCGTCACGACCAAAACACATGCAATATGCACAGCGCCCAAACTTTCCTGCGCACGTAACCGACACAGAGCAACTTCTGCAATCGGGGTTCCCGCCGTCAATCTTAGTGCCACCACAGCTGTTGTTTTGGGCTCGTAGCCAGGGGGTGACACCCGGCAAACAAAAAAACACTGAGCGCTTCCGATCGAGGCGCCGCCGAGACAAACGCGACGCAGACCGGGCGACAAAAAGATAAACGTGGCGAGCGAAAGAGGATGGGAGGAAGAGAGAGAGAGAGAGAGAGAGAGAGAGAGAGAGAGAGAGAGAGAGAGAGAGAGAGAGAGAGAGAGAGAGAGAGAGAGAGTGCGAGGGAGGGAGTGGGGACGCCCTGGGAAGTGCTCCTGTGACCGTGTTTATTTGTGCAAACTTTGGACGGAATGGGGCCTAATGGCGGCGGCCAGGGGAGGCCTCTCATTTGGTGACGCTCATAGCTTCTAGGTTGGGAAAGGTTAATGACGGCACATAAAAGGGTTCTATTTCTGGACCCATATTGACCTGCGATCGCGCTATTGTGTTGGTGACCTTTAGGTTTCCTCGATAACTAATCATAAATCATGGATTCTAATTAAGCGAACCATGCACTATCGCTCTCGAGCATTTGCATTTTACTTTGACCTGAAAATTCAAAATGGGTCACAGAGTTGCATTCATACGAGTCACATACATCAAGCAGCCTACTATTTCTCTCTCAAACTCACGCATTTTTTTCGCCGAGTCCCGCCGTTTTCACTCACCAACCATGAAGTGGAGGCAGGCGGCGACCCGTTTGAACGTGTAGCGTCGGACGCGGAAAGTGTAGATGGAGAAGAAGATGGCCATGCCGGCCAGCATGATGGAGATGACGCTGAACGCCAGACACGTCCGTCGGTACGCTGCCGGAGGGGCAGACGAGAGGGCAGGGGTCATCGGTCAGTCGGGTGTTGCTGCTCAGAGTGCTGAGAGAGGAAAGGGGTATTCTGGGCCCTGATGACGGAAGAGGGTAATAAACAGAGCAGGATAATGAATAAGGGAAATTAAATTTGCAGCTTTGCTGACATTGCTGACGGCGTTATTTTTTAATTTGATGCAGCGAATGAGATTTGCAGACGGCAATAAATCTCCGATCCTAAATAGCTTATTTTTCCGCATGTTCAGTCCTGCAGCTTTCATGCTTTTGCATACCATGACCTAATAACTTTTTTGTCTTTATGCGTACGAAGTCAACTTAGTTATCGAATCAAATTGCCGTAGCCAGTAGATGAGAGAGATAAATAGCGTAACGACGTTGGACCAGGCGCACATGTGGCGCAGGTTCCAATGTGCACATCTGGCGTCGGTAAGTGAAATTTGGATCAGCGATACACGCGTCCCACAAAAAGGCCGTGGGCTCCGTCATAAATGTCTGCGTCTATTCTGCACAATGAGCACACAAAAACGCGAGCAGCTTGCAGCGGCCAACAAAGAACAGTGCACTGACGACGGACAAAGGAACTCAGGCCGACGAACAAACGGCGAACGGAAGTCAATAGAACACGATCTAAGGTAAACTGTGCCGAACAAAAGCGGATGACGTGAAACTGCTCCACAAGAAAATAGTTGATGGTGAAACCTTATCCAGTAGTGATGACAAAGCTGAAAGACATTCATGCTGGGCTTTTAGGCGCCTAAATGCAACGATGACACGTCATTGTCACATAGCTCTGGCATTACATGGCAAGCCAATGAATTCACCTTTCTGAGGTCACCCACCTACACTCAATGACGTCACCTATGGATGACGTCACACTCACCGATGACGACATTTAGCGGATGATCGTTGTCGATCGCTTTCAGGAACTTGATCCTCATGTAGGCGCATGCGGCTGCGGCAGAAAAAAGGAGCGACAATGTCACTAACAATCCTGAACAATCAGGATAATCAGGATTGAATCAATTGACTGATTATTGACGAGCGATTGAACAATCGCTCCTGGCTACATTGACGATCAATATTCATGGAGGTTGCGATATTCATGGAACGTTTTTTAATGCGTACGAAATGGTGAACTCAGGACTGCAATACCTTTGCATTAAAAAAGCGTTTATACCTACCCTGTCCACTACCGTCCTGTATGTCTCTATACCTCTTCCGAACGAGTTACATGATATTTTCACTAAAAATTCAGGAGCCCAGATAGTTTCGCTGCAGCCTTTTTAGTATTCAAAGGCGACAGACACACTTGTGCTTTACCTTGCACAACCTCACTGCATCCCACGTCTTCCAATCAAACTCGACACGTATGAACACTTGTGGTTTGGGGTGAGTGATTTGCTGTGGCAGGTCTCACACGAATGTAGTGTAGCTGCCCGAAAAAAGAACAGGCTGCGGAAACGTGAATGAGTGAAGGAGGCAGCTGGTGTGGTTTCGATGGAGCGATTCGGAATTCGGCTTTGTGGACGAGATTGAAGAAATACAAAGTCAAATGGAGTCGACGATAATCACAGGCTCGCAAGAGCAATAAGAGTTGACATTCAAAATCTGAAGTAAATATAAAAAATAAAATGGATGAGGATGATTCTTCGCAAATTTACAAACAGAAACGAATAAGCAGTGCGTCGTCTTTCTGTGCTTTCTGTCTTCTCAAACAAAACCAGGTTTTGACCTAGCGGTTAAAAGTGAAACTCCTCAATGCAAACAACTCCAACTTTAATCAATATGCAAATGACTGAATAAATGATGGCACGGCAAACTTCCTAGAGTCGAGCAACTAAAGAGGCCTTCAACTTAATCCGGCATGCTGACAGATTATCTCCAGTTGACGGATAATCCCCAGTCTCGCGTAACTGACACGTCGACAGTGTTGACAGATATGGCTGTGACGCGTGACAGATAATGACAGGAGGCGTCAGCGAGGGCGACGAGTCGTTTAAGTGATGACAGACAAGAGACTGGTGGCCGCGACTTTGGCAAATTCTACCACTACGTGGACATGACTGCAGACTGGGTAGGGTATCCTTTTGATGCTACCATGCTCTAGCTCCTATTAGATGCTGGCTTTGCTCTTATTGCTAACTGCACGAGTTTTCACTCTGGAGCAGCCTGGATTCTGGGCAGTCTGGGGTCTGCACTACCCAAGTTCCAACTCCTGCACGTGCGTTAGTCCCTTCCGGCTTCCAGCCCTCTCGTCCAAAACTTGCAAATCTGACCCATTCCAGCCCCCTGCAGGTCGCCCCGGGCTGAGGAGCCCCGACTCGGAGTTTCGGAGCGGCTCTGCAGCACACGGCTCACCAGCTGAGTAAGCAAATAGATCGCCCCCCCCCTCCCGCGGGGAGGGAGAGGAGGGGAGGTGCCATCACCGACACTTCCGGGGTACAGGAGCACTGAGCAGTCGGGTGGCGTAAAATAGTGGGTCAATCGATTTGTCAACAGGCGATGTCTCTTTTTTTCAACCATAATTGACCATAATTATCCAAGATGCTAAGTGGAAGAAGCTTGTTGATCAATATGTGCATGTAGTAGTGTCATTAGATATTAACGCAAGAAGGCTGCTTATGGCTGAGAAATGATGTCATATTTTAACCGATTTCGTTTCCAGCATGCTCCTTTATTGCGTGCCGAAAGCAGTTGTGAATCCTGAAAAATATAACCACAGTCCACAGAGAACATGAACATTGGATGATTGGACAATTGACAAGTCTCGTTTTAACATTTATATGAAAGCCAGTAATGTTCCAGTGTGTCTGGCGCCTTGAGAACAGAGCCGTTTTGTGCAAAAATAGAGCCTTCGGTCTTTGTTCTTATTAAATAGCTGTTCCCATTCCTACTTTGATGTAGCTATGGCAATAAATCACTGTCTGAGTTCCCTCACAAAAATGTCTCCCCAGTATCCGCGTGAGGCAGATTGAGTTTTATACCAGGCTTCCTATCGGCCAGCATATCAAGCTCCCATCAATGGTGAGGTGATTAATCACACCTCAGGGAGATATAGGTGCGCTGTGACGTAATGGACAAACAACGCTCGCAACCAATGGCTAGACGCCAACATATCAATCACGGAAAGAACATAGGGCGCCCTCATAAAACGCAGGAGTGGTGAATATTAACCTTTCGTTTTATTTTGATCCTAAATGCGAACATGTTAATTTTTCCACTACCTTTAAATTCCATTATGAAATCCAGCGCGAGTTTTCAATCCGTTTCTCATAAACCTGGTTACTACAGTGGCGTAGAATCCCTATCTTCACCGTCATGAATCGGGCCCACCTGTAGGACATTTGGCCTGGGGGCACTGTTGGTCCGTCCTTGGCCGTCAGGCTCGGTCGGGACCCGGCAGCAACTCTGCACAGCGACCTGGCATCGTGCCAACACCCCCGGGCTCGCCCCACCCCTCCCCTACCCCAGCCGTGCCGGCACGAGTAGGTACTGCATTCCCTGCCGGCTGCCACGAGCCAGGGTATATTGAGTGAAGCCACGAGCTGTCTTTACGGGAAGGGAGAGAAGCTCTGGAAAATTCAAGTACTGACTGCTGGGTAACGCGTGAAAGTAGATGTGTCGCCTTTAGCAGCGAATTTGAAGAATTTTGTGCTTGAATTCGGGGAGGGGTTGAGGTCTCGTGTTTAGTATTTTCGAGTAACATCATAGCGTGCAGTTCAAACACAAAATACAATTTTTGTGCGCTTACTTAACGCTTACTTAATTTGGCTGTGAGTCATGCCGCCATGAATACCTAATGAATTTCAAAGTACAGATAAACTTTAGTGACCGAGTGTCGTTTGAGTAGGTTGTTAAATTTGAAGCCTTTCCGTTCGGCATTTTCCATTAAACTTGTCTTTGTTTAGCCACGTGATTGTCGCAAAAACACAAAGAACTTCGATCAGAAACAATTTTCAAACACCCATGTCAGCGCAGAATATTGTTATTGTCCCATAGTTTGGCGACAAACTATCCAGAAGACTTGCTTTACCTATTCAAGTTTTCCGCACTTGGCTTGGCAATAGGTATTTCGCTCAATTTACTGGGATAAGCAAGGATGCTGCCTGGAAAATATTTCATGGCTTATCAGTGTTTTATCAGGGCTTCGCTTTAATCTGTAGGCCACTTCTGAACTGCCGCAGCCCCTGAACGCCTAGGTCCTGCACTTTGGGCGAGGGACAGAAAAGGGATGAAGCGGGGGGGGGGGGGGGGGCTGAGGGGATCACTACCGACCGGTGAGCTCTGAATACCGTTAAATTGTGGCCGGAAAGCCGCTGTTCGAGCCATCGATCGACAGGGCCGCTGGCGAGTTATTCGGGGTCCCTACCGACCGCGCCGGGGGCTGGCCCAACTCCTGCAAACCCCCTCACCCCTCCCTCCTCTGCAGGGAGGAACCACCAACCCTGCCTGGCTCGCGCGCCTGGGCTAGGTCGTTCCGCTCACTTGGCTTCAAACGGCCCGGTGCGGCCACCGCTGAGACGCCTTCCTGGACGAGGCAGCCAGCAGCCCGACTCGTTAAAAGTCGAGAGCGTCAAGTCGTGCGCGATAAAGTGTTTGAGATGATGGAAGGGGTGGGGTTGATGAAATTTAGGTGGGCGGACGGTGCTATGAGCACGGAGAGACGCGTCGTGGTCAAAGCTGGCTTACGAAGGTGAGGGGAAAATAAAATGTCCCTAAAATGGAGGTTTATTCTTTCGAGTTGGCTGAGTTGGCATTATTTTTCCACCTACCTACCTGCTAGACTGCACTATTTGTAGCCATTCACAATTCCGTGCGAAGCACACATTTGTTGCACGCTGTTTCGCATACATATTTATTGTCAAAATTATTTTATAGCCTGCTTTCGTTACCTTCTTTTACATTTTACGCACTAACTTATTCCGATAATTCAACGTTTGATCAAAACGCGGCGGGTCAGCGGCGCCCTATCAGAGAGCCGGCCCGTCGCCACTCCACCAATCAGGAGGTCGCTTATTCCGACCAATCACGGCGCGCCCCGGTGCGGCCGCCCGACCCTGGGTCGCGTCGCAGCCGTCGTGTATCTTGCAGCTGAGACGAAACATTTTTTTACTAGCAAATATCTGAAAGTCATTTGTGAAAGGTAAGAGCAACATCGACAAATTTTGACTTCACTTTTTTCGCTTATGGTTTGCATTTTTTAATGTGTCCTGTTTTTATATTGCCATTTTATGTTTTGTTGTGTTACCTAATACCAAAAATTCGATAACGTTTGTTTGTGTGTGTGTGTGTTTTTCTTAGGGTGAAGCTACGCTACTGATCTGCGATTAATGCGTTGCCGCTACCGACATGAGGGGTGCACGACATTTTTGAACTGCACAATGCACATGGACCTGCACCCGAGGGTCACGGCTCATGAGACGGCGGCCCGAAGGTAAGTGGTCCTGACTCCCTGATACCTTTATTGTGTAACAGACCGAGCTGGAGCTTTCTAACAAAAATAAGTCTCTCAGGCTATTAGACAGCTTACTGATGCGTGAAAATCATTCAAGTGAACTGAACCCTTATCGTGGTTCGACTGTCACTCTGGAAAGAGCTGTGTGAGCAATTTATTATACCAATACGGACAAAGACATCAGACATTGTCGTGAAGTTTTACGAGTATATAAGCTCACTGTATCTTGATCTCTTGGGCTCAGTAACACGCATCACTAAGCTATAGTCCGTTAGGCGGTACGGGCGGACATCGATAGCAGCGCCTCCATCGGTCACTTGGGAAAGCTGGGCTGTAGGCGACGAAATACTGGCTGAGTTGTCACACGTTGAATAGGTTTATAGACATCAGTCTTGTGAAAAAGTTGAACTTTTGCCTTCAATATTTCTACAGGCAATTTTAGAAGTGTCTTCACATAGATTACAACACCGTTTAGATTATTGTTTAACTTCAAGCCT